GAAATGGTCACTGTAGCATCTAGATTGCACCAAAATTAATTAATATGATTATAATTTACCACATGAATAAAACATTCTCATCACTTTGACAGAGTCTACAAACTGTCATCAAAATCTTTTAGTCTGAAAATAATCAGCTAAATCAAATGTGATTTTAATTGATGAAAAAAAATTAAACCTTTCAATCACTATAAAATATTTAGCAGAACAACGAAACTTAAGACAGTGGAAAGTATATTGAGAAAAATCAAATGATGCAGGTGTGTTTGTGCCAGATTTATGTGAATAAACTCAACAGCATTTGTCAATGATTACTTGTACTTTATAGTCTATAGTTTTCTCTGCTTTCCATTTCAAAAGGAAACTGACCTTTTGGGCTCCAGCTTGACTTTAAGAAGCTGCTCTTGATGTTTCGCTGAAGATGAGGTTCTGAGCAGAGATATACTAGGCAATTAGAATTTCCAACTCCTCTCCATAGAACTTCAGCTCTTCCTCACTTATGAAGCAGATGGAATGAAGACTCAACACATCAAATGTATACAACAGAAATGTGTTTGGAAACCTGAAGTGCATGTTACTTAAGTTGTTGATAAATTTCATGCACAGATGTTCCAGATTGAATGTGGCCTTAGTGATCTGATGATGCTCATCCTTGTACATGTTGCCCTGGATGTCTTAGGCTAATACTGTCAGTTTGGGAGATGTCATTTCCTGTTTGCAGGAACTAGAATAAGACTTAAAATCTATCATCAAAGCAGTGATGATGAACTTCTTTTTAGAAATTTTTTTTTTAGGCCATTTATATTTGGATCTTTGCTGAAATTCTGGGACACTTCAGGGAAGTATGTCAGCAGGCGCATAAATCTTCTGGTGTGCACTGTCTGAAGAGCATTATAGTACAATAGCCAACGAATAGAATGCAGCTCTTTGTGAGTGAGTACTTGTTCTTCCAACAGTTTTTGTAAATTTTTTTTTATTTTGGCTGCTTGTTTAGGACTAGTATGGAAATAATAAAACACATCAGCCAGTATTTGCTTCTGCTGTTTGAGGTCTGCTATTGCCTCTGCTGTTTGAATTGTGCACAAGGATAGGGAGTGGACAACACAATGCACATTCACCATTTGTTTCCCCCATCATTACTGCTGCTCCATCTGATACAATGCTTATCACTTTGCTTAATGGGATTTCCAGTTTTGACATCAGGTCATGGATGCATTTTGCAATTCCTGTACCCATTGTATCAATGCACTCTTTATTTGAAGCAAAATGAGTGCTTGGTCGAAATGACTTTTAGCATAATCTCTATAGAAAATGTAAAAATATTCTTGTATTGAAACCATTTAAGCTTTCAGGAATTTTGGTTTAGTATTAATGTGAGTAAAAATTTGTCACTTAGCTGACTGATGTTACTTCAACATCCCGACTGTAGTTTTGTAGCCAGCCCTATCCATCCACACTCCAGAGGATATCAGCAACTTACTGCTTATATTTTTTTGATTTTTTTCCTTTTATGCATATTTGGTGTAAGTTTTCTTCTGTATCCATCTGTGGCCATGTGCCCGTCTCTGTGGATGTGTGTACATGTAGGGAGTTATAATCATTTTCCATTTTCTTAGGGTTTTTTTTTTACTTTACACTCATTCATTTAGCTTTCTCCTTTTTTTCTCTTTTTCTGACTTGCTGATTTTATCTGAGTTTGTTTTTGATTCTAGACATGTAACCAATTTTTATTTTTATTTATTGGCATTCTATTTTTTTTTTGTTAGGGAAGTTGTATTATCTTTTTTTACATAAATAACTGATACTAATGCTTAAATAATGGTAAATACACATCTTCATTGGGCTATTATTTTGTTTTTTAATTTGGTTTGGTGGTATCATAAGTATTAATTGTAGGAGGTTAGACTTATAATTAAATTTATTTATTATTGTTAGATTTATGCACACGTCTGTATTTATACACACACACACATGCACATCTATTCATGCACATATATAGGTACATGTATGTACACATAAACGTGCACACACAGGTACATGTAAACATCTGTGCTTTGTTACTAATAAACTAGTGCTTAAATGGTGAAGTTATATATATATATATATATATACTCCCATATATGCAATTGTTAAATAGTGTATATGTAATTAAAATAAGTGTAAGTTTATATCATGTTATTGTTTATTTATTGTTTCATTTTTATTTTTATTTAATGGTTTGTAGTTTATTTGTTTTTGCCTTGCTGTTATATAGGTACTTCCACTTGCTCACTAAAAAACAGCATAGCATGATGAACAAAGGCCCCAAACTTAAAAACAAAGTTTTATCATCAAAATGTTTACGCTATTATTTAGTGGAAAGTATTTTTTTTTATTATTTTATTAAATTTTTTAAGCCTTCTACTATGTTTGAACTTTGGTTAAAATCTTTTTTTTTTTTTTTCGTCAGCAGTTGATGTAATATTTACAAATAGTGTTTTTTTTCTGGGGAAAAACACATTGATTTGGAATTTCTTGGAAAAATAAAATCATTGTCAGATTTTAATGAAACTTTCAGAACTTATTCACAGATTATTTTGGAAAAATTTTTTTTTTTTTTTTACATATGTTACCCCCCACACACACACACACACACTTAATTTCATGAAATTTCAAATTAAATTGCAATCTCAAAATTTGTTTTATTAGTTAAAAGCAGGACTCCTTGGAGAATGTAAATCATAATTTTTTTTTTTCAAACTAATACTCATATCCCAAAAATCTGCTCCAAACCATAAAATAAAAAATGCAAGTATGACATTATTTAATTAGAAAAGCTTTTAATTGTTTTACAATTAAGATTTATTAACAACTATTGCCTTAAGAAAAATTTTTTCAATGAATATTGAATTTTTACAAGAATTGTTTACATTTTTTTAATTTTAATTATAATAATTTATAATATTAAATTGTTTAAAGTTTTGCATTACTTCAATCCAGTTAGGTGATATTAAGTGAAAACTATATTTACAAATCAAAAATTAAAAAGCTCAATAAAAGTTGTTTACACCCAATATTTTTAAACTTTTTTTTTTTTATGTATATAAAATATTACATAATGTGCTCCTGTTTAAAAGTATTGTCAACCATACACGACATAATCAGAAAATAAGAGTGATGACTATAGTAAATTTAAATCCAACATTCCTAAAATTAGATTACAGAGAATATTTTCCAACATTTTTAAGATTACTGAGTACTTAAAAATTATATTAAAAATAGGTGCTCACTAAGAATTAACTTTCGTTTACAAAGGTGTCAAAAATGGCTGAATTTAAACGATTTCTGAAAGTAACCAAAAAGTTGAGATTCCAATCAATATAATTTCTATTTAAAATGCACCAGAGTATTTTGCTTACTGGAAATACTAAATGTAATCATTTAGCTTTCAATTAAAGCTAAAAACAATGTTTCAAGAATGCTTTTTCATTTTTAAAAATTCATTTTAAACTTTAGGTATAGAAAATTCAGTGGAGTTGCCTAGTGTTACATATTGAGATATTAATCATAGTGGGGGGTTAGGTTTGTTCATTTTTTTGTGTGTATATATATATATATATATATATATATATATATATATATATATATATATATATATATATACACACACACGTGTGTGTGTGCATATAAGTTTGTATGTTTAATATTTGTTCATTTATTTGTTTATTAATAAATCAAGTTTATATTATATTTGTTTCTTTTATTTAAAGTTTGTATAATAATTTTTATTTCATTTATTTAGATTTTATATTTTCAGTTAGTGCTTAGCTGGCATAGCAAATATTTATTTACATGCCTACATTTACCCATTATTTCAGTTTTCTTGTTTAAGACTTTATTTTGGTTTTTAAAAATAATTATTGCTAATTTTTCCTATAAGCATATTTTACAATTTTTATATTTAATACTGTATAGGGCTGATTTCCCATTTGATGTTGATGCAGATATATCTGCTTTTATAAATAGATTTTTTGACTTGTTTATCATATTTTGATCTTTTCCAAGTCTTTTTGGAAATTATTTTTGAATTTTCTTATACCCAAATTACTGATTATGTTTAAGTCTTTTTCAAAATCAATGAGGTCATTTTGTTGTGGTGGGTATTTCATTGATGTTAAATCTAATTTGTTAATATTATTGGTATTATCGGTGGTATTATCACCATTGTCATTGTCTTTGTTGAGGGAATAGAATATTTTCCATCTTATGCATTTTATAAAGCATTTATTTTTTCTGTTAGTTTGATTTTGTAGTCATGTAGGTTTGATGTTGGTATATTTTAAGGAGACGCTAAATTGTGTGGATTCTATGTTGATGTAAGAAAGTTTTGAGAAAATATAATAGCAGAATTGAATGCTTGAAAACATGATCAAACAAAAACCTGCAAAAAAGTATTCAACTGAAAATGATTTTTCAGGAGCTAAGGTAATAGCAATGTCAAAGATAGTTGAAAGGAATTTATTTGTATATAGCAGAGATGCCACTAGGTACCCATCTTGCATCCCTGACACATAAAAATCTAAAAGGAGACAGTAAACTCCCTATTTGTGTGACCAGGGGACAAAATTTTCCCATGAAATCAGATATATTACATACAAGCAACCTAACAGTTATGTGATATTAAAAAGAATTTGTTATCTGTTGATACAAATTAAACAAGGACATCAGTCCAATGATGCATCCACATTTAATTTAAAATTAATACTTGAATATAATGACCATTTAAATATTAATTTTGCTGCTAGAAAAACATTTTCTTTCATTCTTTTTTTTATTTGGTTTTATAAAAATAACCTGAAAAAGTTAACTGGGAGTGAAGATTCTTGCAATAAAACTTGAAAGTTAATTTTTAAAACATAAGTCTTCAAAAGGTTGAGTTGCAAATACTGAGATGCAATTTTCCATTCTAAATTACAAGTGATATTTTCAAAGAAGAATGGCTGTGAGAAATGATAACATACCAGAACATAAGAGTTCAATCCAACACAGAAAGGATCTTCATACATGTCAGGTGGAGTTGGCAATTGTTTATTCATCTGTAGAGATGAAGTGAGGAAAACTTCCAAATTCTTACTGGGAAACTTTTGACCTGGAAATAGAAAATAATATATTTTTAAATTTCAAGAAAATAGAGCTTGTCTTTCAAGTAAATTCAACAGAAATAATATGACATGTTAATGATAATTATTTTAGAAATTTTAAATTAAAAACTATTTACTTATAAATAAATCACTCATGCAGATAAATAGCTTTGTGCAAAAATCTCAAGCACCGGTTTGATAATAGAATTTTGAAGTTTAAATACAATCAGTAAAAGAATGACTACATAACCAAACCAATATGATATGAATCAACAACTGAAATTCATACCCAAGAAAATTTTTCCAGATATGGTTTCTTCTTCACTAAAATCAAGTTTACAAGTGAAATAATCAACTGCAAACATTTTACTAACTTTCTACAAATTTGTATTGTTCTTATAGATTAACTTTAAACTTGATATTCTACCAACCATACTGATAATGAAGTTCAAAAATAAAGATTCAGTCAATTCAAAATAAAGATATTTTCTAAGAAATTATTAGAAAAAGTATTTTTACCAATGTTCCACACAAGCATTCTTTTTTCAACCAACTGCACACTTCCTTGACTAGCATTCACATCATATGACTGAACAAGACCACTGAAAAAAAATAAAATAACACAGCTTAAAATTTGTTCATATTTTTTCTTCATAAAAGAATTAAATTCTTGTAAGTTTATTATTTTCTTACAATATATTAATTTTTTTAAAATATTCTTTTTCCTATACATTTTAGTCAGTTTATGAAAGAGTGATTGTTTAATCACTGTTTCAAATTTTATGTAATTAGAAATTTCCTCAAAATTAGTCTACCAGTAAGTCATTTCTTGGTAAAACATTTACCCATCTGAGTGAAGGTTTTTATCGATAAAGTGATCAATAGTTAGGATGCAAGCTATTGTTAACATAATAGATTTCTTAAAATGACAATAAACCATTTTGACTTAAGTTTCCAAAATATAAATAACTTTTTTTTAATCAATTCAAGATTCCTTATCTTAAATCTATCCTATCACCTACTTTTATAAATAAAACTAAGTTCTCTCACATGACAAATTAAAAAAGAAAAAAAATCATGTCAATTCTCACCGGTTGTAAATTGGAATTCTCAACTCACAGAGATCAAAAGAATTCTTGATTTTATTGCTTAGACTAAGACGGACTTCAACAATTATTTTCCCAGTGATATCAATCTACATTAAAGAAAAAAAACAGTCATTTAGGAATAAATTGAAATTTCACAAACAAAATCATTAATAATCAATAACAACAGCTATAAAAAAAAAAAGAAAACAAAAGCATCTGATAAAGACAATTTTCACAATTCTAGATATCTTATTTTTTTTTAAATAGATCTTTTTATCTCAACCCTCAAAAGAAAATTATTTTATAACTTGACAGTTTCAAAACCAATGTGTAGCAAACAATTTTAAAACATTTGATGATCGGAAGTTGATACAAATTACAAAACAAAATATCAAAATTCATAAAATTTCTGTTTGTTTATATACTTTTTGAATTATATTTACTCTAACTGACAATGAGTAACTGACCAAATCTTATTCAAAACATGCAGGTGTACATTTTTCACCAACTGAACCATCTTCTGATGACAGTTCTAACCAGAGTTAGTGGCTTTTTCTCTTCTACTGAGATTTCTTTGAACAAAAGCATGTCTTTGTTCAGGGTTTTATTTATAATTTTTATAATACTTTAATAAAAATATATTACTAATTTCAAAATGTGATAATTGATATGGTTTTTAATAACTCAATTACTTTATTTTAAAAGCATGCAAAATTTCAAGGTGATAATAATATATACATCATTTTGCAACACTTATTTTTATACATGTATTGAATCTTATACAACAGAATTATTTAAATCTGATTATTTTATAATGTATATGACTAGACTAACAGTTAACAAATGATGCAAAATGATGTTTGATTAAGATTTAAAATACAACTAAAACATTATTTCAATGATACCATTTCCAATGTATTTCAATGACTATAATAGCATTCATTTAATTTTCCAGTTCAATATATTCAACTGAATTAGACTAACCTGCATATCATAATAACCAGAGATAGGCAATTCTTCTGCTGTTGAAACTGAATAATTGCACAATACAAATTGCTCCATGGGAGGAATGAATCGAATTCTCCTGGGATTTGCACGGGATTCCCAATCTTGATTCCCTTAGTTAAAAATAAAATAAAACATTTGGTGATGTATTTTTCACAACCATTATTTCTTTCTTGTTACATTTCTTATTTTAATCAGAAAATCATGTGGTTGATTTATAAAAAATGAAATTAAGTATTAAAAAAAATTTGTGTGATAGACTTTAAGGACAAAAACGTACTTTACAATTTACATATGAGCATTTTGAAAAATCATTTTTTTGGAAAAAATAAAAATAAAAGTTATAGAAAATTTAAAACTGTAGAGAGAAAATTGTTGCACCTATAGTCCATGAAATATTTCACCTACTGAGGTGAGAATATACATTATGTCATAGTGTATAATTAGGTACCTCCACGAAATCTCTAAAAAAAGAGCATAGCTTGAAGAAAAAGACGCCAACCTTGCCGAAAACAAAATTTTATTGTCTAAATGCTTATGTTATTATTAAGAGGAAAGACCAAAGTTTTTTTTAATTATTTTAAAAATTTTCCTTCTTTTAGAACATTCTAAATTTTGATTAAAAAACTTTTTTCTATTTGTATCAGCAGAACTAGTAAATAATATAGACAATTTTTACGTTTTTTTGGTATGACACACATTAATTTGAAAAATCGTGCAAAAATAGAAATAATTATCGGGATGTTAATGAAACTTTCAGAAACTATTCACAGATGATCGAAATTATTATAAATATGTTTTTTTTTATGAAAGTCATGGTAGAAATATTTTTTAAATATTTATCCCCCCCACACCAACTAATTTTATGAAAACGCTAGAAATTCGATCGCATCGGTTTTAGTGATTACAATAATTAAAAGCACAGGGTTTTGAGGAATGCAAATCATGTTTTTTTTTGGATAGGCAGTACCTGAAAATCAGCTCTGAATTGTAACATACAAAACTCAATAAAACAAAGATATTATTTAATTTCAAATGCTTTTATTTGCTTTTTAGTTGTTTTTATGAATATGGACAATATTTTCTGAAAGCAAAAAAATTTTTCGATGAAAAATGAATTTTTAATACAATTATTTGTTATTTCATTAATTATAATAGATTTTACATTCAAGTTGTTAAAATATTATAAAATTAGTTAAAAGTCGCATCGGCTTTCATAAGTGTCCTTATGAGATAGATCTTTTTTTTAGCGTTGTAAATTGTATCATTTTGACTAATCAGAAGATTAGTAATTTAGAAATGTAATTTTGTGCTTATAACCGAGCTGTAATTATAAAAATGGAAGACCAACCAGAATATAATTGTTGCGTTATTTGAGTTAAGCATTGTTCTCAGCTGTTAAGGCCTTTACTTTTTTGAAACACGTGTGGAGAAGTTAATTTGATTTTTCAATTTCAACTGAGAAGGGTACCTACAAGTATCAGTATCATCTTATGAAATTTATATGATCTTATTTTTATATTAATCTCAGTTATGACATTTTCCATAAATGAAATATCAAAATTAATAATAAAATGAATGCAAATACAAATAACAGTAAAATGTAATAAATGTACATAAAATTATAGTATTTTATGTACAATTGATAAAAAATTTCATAAGAAAGGTACCTATAAATTAATTAGATACCTTTCTTAAGAAATATGAAATTTAATGTCACTCTTAACAGTTTTATTTTAATTTTTTACAATATATTTCCCATAAAGCATCATAAACGTAAAGGTGAAAGCTAAGTACAAAAAAAAAAAAATTAGACCGCTGAAAGTTTTCGTTAAAAATAACGGGGTAAATAATTTGTTCACGTAAATGTAAATTATTTCACTTTTCTCCTTCCAGTAGAACAAATTAGCCTCATGGAATTCGTAAATATATCATTCATCACATGTCAAGAGACACGAAAGTTTATGACCTGCTTTTTGTTTTATTTTCAAATTACATCTTTTGGCAAAAAAGCTAAGTTAAGTTTGATTCAAAATATTTTAAATAAACATTATAATTTCTGATTTTCTTAAAATAAGTTTTGAAAAAATGATAATTGATTTTAAAAAAATTTCAAAGTCAGATTTCCAGTTTTTTAAAATGGAAAAATGGTCAATTTTGCTGACTCAAAAAAAACTAGATTTTAACGAAAATTTTGGACGTGCTAGGAACGATTAAAAAATGGAAAAAATACCCCAAAATACTTTGACCTTTCCTCTTAATAATAACAAACATTTAGACGATAAAATTTTGTTTTCGTCAAGTTTGGCGTCTTTTTCATCATGCTATGCTCTTTTTTTAGCGATCTCGTGGAGGTACCTATGTATAATGTATGCAACTATTAAACAACTAATAATGATCAAATTTTCAGAATATATTTATATGGTAAATCTAATTTCAGTTTATGTTTTTATAAGAAATACTTACAGTAACTTATTTGGTGGAGCTAGATTTTATCATGCAATTCAAAAGGTTGTTCATCATATTGTAAATATGTATATTAGTAAAATTAGTGATACTTATTTTTTGTTTTTTTTTAAATTTCAAATAAATGAAATTCTGCAGAGGTCATAAGATATAAATTCAAAAAGTAAAACATTTTAAAGTTATTGAGTGATTGGGACACTGGGTTGGAAATCACAAAAATGTCTAATGAAGATCACTGAACAAAAGTGAAATTAAACACATTGACATGATAAAAAGGAAAAAACTGACTTGTAAGTGGATTGACCAGTAAGAAAATATTAGAAGCTGGT